TTTTCAAAACATGAACGCTTCTAGCTTGTTCTTTGTTGTTTACAGATACTAATTAATTGAATAAGTTATAGTATTAAACCGCCTTCTTTTCACTTTTACCTTTCTTTACCTTTTACCTTTAAATTCTAATTTCTTATGGAATGTAATTTAATGAACATATTTTTTAATTTAAATTTATCTATGTTTATTTTTAAAACTTTATAATAGTTTCGATTACAATCAATCTGTGATAAAGAGGCCAAAGTGAATCGTTATCATGTGATTCAAGATTTGGGAGCTTATTTGATGTACAATCTTATCACAACGGACATGTTAAAAGAAATCATAACCTTTAAATAACAGTGTTACCTTCACACTGGCATAAGACGAGGATAAATATTTTCTAGTGTTTAAGTTCATCTAGTAATTAGTGTATAGTGATTGTCGTTGTCATAAACGAAAGTAGTTTATCAGAGGAAAGACTCGAGCCTCTTCTGCAGTATATTTCTTTAATTCTGTAAAATAAGCCCACTTATTTTACATCTTTACTTAGTTCTTATTTTCATGAAAAACTGCCAACAATAGTTGTTTTGAAGCCTATGTAGACGGCCTGTGTTAGTCTACAATATGGCGCTATAAAGTATATTATAATTAACAAGTCCATAAACAATGTTTAATGTTTTCATAATGATCTCACGGGTGCGTTCCCACGGCCATAGACTACTTTATAGTTTTACTGCGCACTACAGAAGACAAAGAAGCCGCGAGATAACGCGCGCGATAACCACAGACAACATTTGTCTATTGATTAGTTGACAACAATCAGATCCTTGTTACACGACGTCAGCCCACCGGGGATCAGGCGCACACGCAATTTATGCTTTTAACACAAAATAAACCGAACATTGGGATATTGGAGATCATTTATTCCAAACAAAAGACAACTGAAAAAGTTTTGGTTAATTTAAAAAGCATATTTGGATAGTTTTTCAGAGTGCAAATGATTTTTTTTTTCCTAATTTAATACGCATCTTCACAACTTGAATACATATTCTGTTTATTTATTTAGCCTCGACAAACTTCCTTTTCTTATAATAATCCAATAACTAAGGCATTTAGGATTATTCGCGTATTAAAACGGCAAATATTTAACGTTTTGTACACACTAGTTGTGTCGTCTGATGTCGCGTGTTGAAACAAAACAAGCAGCCAAATCAATTACAAACTCGCTCGCTAATTAATCACCGAGCGCTCAATCACGCCGCTGTCACGCTGACAACTGCCAAATTTGACACCTGTCAAATGTGACAGCTCAAGGCACGGCGCGGTGCAGGGTTAACATTTAATGGTAAATGGAGTGATGTTTTAAATTACAAATTGGTTAGTTAGTTACGAGTCGTCGAGTTTAATTGACTATAATTAATGAATTAATTGTTTGTCTACACAATTACGTAACATGTGCCTGATGTTACAAATATGTCAAACTATTCATTGTAAATAGAAAGTGATTCAAGAAGACATAAAGAAATGTTTTGTTTCTATTAAGCATTTGTTGTGCGTACGTCTATTTACGAAAGTTTTCTTAATATGATTGAAAATGTATTTTTGTCTTTATGTAGACGTCCATAAGTATAGGATTATTGTAATTTTAATTTCTACTTATAGTTAATACTGTTTTATAAAAGTTGATCGATACTTCAAGGAGGAACAACAAAATAAATAAATACTTTTTAACTTTTACGACCATTTTTAAATTTTAGCATTATGTGAAAAGGAACGTAATGCGTATTGTAAGAGCCAAAGGTCAAGTGATAAGATAAAGCATCTCTGCACCACTGCAGGCCGTATCACCCACTTAGACCTCTCAGTCCTGTCGCCTGTCGCCTGTCGCCTGTCGCCTGTCACCACGCTACAGAACAAAACGAGCGGAGCATTAATAAGAGGCAGGCGTTATCGGCTCGCCCTCTGACGGCCGATGTCTTCATACCTTGACGATGACGTCTGATACAGAAACAATGGACTATCACTTTACAACTTATTAAAACTGCAACAAACGAAATTCATCCTTAGTTCGATGGAATAGAATATATATTTAATTGTATATGGATTGAAAGCATTGATTGCACTGATTTAATAATTGTCAAACAATAACCACATTTATTCAAATACATATAAAGTTTATTTTTCTGTCTTCATCAAATCTTTTGTAATTTTAAAAAGTCGTATGATTTATTTAAATTATTAAACTATAATGTACTTTAAGTTTAGGGAATAGAGTAGTATTTCGAATGTAGTAAGTGTTAAAAGGGTTATTAGGTAGTGGTGAGTGAACACATCACAGTGTTTTGACGCAAGATTTGATTAATAATGGTGGAAGCGTGTTCGCTGAGCTTTTTTCGAAATGTTGATATAATAACGTGTTAGGGTTTTAAGCGAGTTTGTTATTATCTCGAACTGTGGGCGAACACTCATTGATATTATTATTTATTAAAATGACCACTAGATAGCAAAGAAATGAGCGAACATATAATGTTTGTTCTAAATAAAAAGGCACGCATACTAAAATTAACTATTCTTACTAAGAGAAAACTACGCAAGGTATTTTCTACAGACGAAATAAGTAGTATTGTAAGTAGAAAGATTTCAAGAACTCTGTCATGAACCATTGAGAGAAAAACTTTGAAGATTACGTTAGACTATCGATTTCGCGCCATCACCTCACGGTTGCTTTAATTGCCTTTTCATTGCTATTAAATAAAAAAAAGTTAAAAGTTAACCCTTCAGCAGCGGCCCTTACTGCCCCTATCGCCATTAATCATTACCACATAACGACAGCTTCCGTTGCTTTGCGCGATAGAGAAGACTAGATGGGCATGCAGCAAGCGTGAGCGAGAAGGAGAACAGCACTCAACAACTTAATTGAATGCCCAGTGCAGTAGGGAAGGGTTACGATAAGATCTCTATCGACAAAAAACAAAGACTAATTGTACATTTTCGTACAATTATAATTGTGTAAAATATTTTATTTATCATTTTAGTGACAGGAGATTTTGAAATTGATTATTTGTGCGCAAATGTATACGCTTCTTTACAAGTTATGCTAATTAATATTTAAATTTGAATATAAAATATTTTATTTAGTTTCTTATTCGTATATTATGTAGATATTTAAATTAGAGGTTATTTTTATGCGACTCTTTATGATTTAATTCGTATAGTTTAAACAGCAGTCATATTCACACTAGTGCTTTTTTTATTATTGTATTATTAATGTTTGTTTTTGTTTTGGAAATTAAAAGGGATGAGAATATGTACAAATAATTCTGTAGTGGAATATTTCGGTAATGTATATCGATAGTCCCGCATCTCAGCAGCCCTAGTCGTGTTATCTGTTACGGTCGTTATCTGTCGCGCTTCGGACATTAACACGTCTCTCCTCATTAAAATATTTATAGCAATGCACCAACAGGTGACAGACAAACGAAAATAGTTATTAATACTATAGAAATATAGGTTATTTTGAATTCAAAAGAAAATTTGTTGAGAGACTGAAGGGACGGGACGTCTTTGACTTATCGCGACTGCTCTACGTGTGGTAATGTCTATTGGTATAAGGCACTCAAAAGGTTAAGTTACAATTGTTTTTGTTTTCTATAAGAAGCCACAGTCTTACGACAGCTTTCATAATAATATTCATTGTTAAAATTTATGTTAATATTTGCTTATATAGATTGTAACATGCGACGGCATCATCATCATCATCATCAGCTCACTATACGTCCCCACAAAGGGGCTCGGAGCCTACCCTAAGTTAAGGGTGATTAGGCCATAGTCAACCACGCTTGCCAAGTGCGGGTTGACTTCACACATATCTTTGAATTTCTTCTCAGATATGTGCAGGTTGCATCACGATGTTTTCCTTCACCGTAAGAACGTCGGATAAATGTACATATGTAAATCGGAAATCGAAAAACACATTGGTACATGACGGGATTCGAACCCAGGACCTGCAGATTGCAAGTCAAGTGCTTGACCCCTGAGCTACCGACGCTGTATAACTTTTGTCATTCATAGTGCAGATGAGTGAGTGCAAAAACATTAGTTGTCAACTATTTTTTGCAGTTAGACGCATGGATCTTACTTGAAAGTATAACATTTATCAGAAATAATAAAGATAACTGGAATGTCCTAATCTAGGGGTGCAAGGGGCGTGGGACGCTCGGAACCTGGGGACCCCCGACGATATAACTGCGTAAAAAGACACTTTTAGAAGATTCATATTGATTTTTCCACCGGGACACTTAGTTAAGTTAAAATTAACTTTGATAGAAAGACAGTTCGTATTTTTTTATATTTAAAGATGTATTCCGAAAGTTGTACTGAAAGTTCAAACTTTGTAGCTATTTTGTATTTGGCACAGATTACCACTGTATTAGTGTAGTGAAGGAACAAATCTATATAGCAAATCTGGATAGCAGTGTTGATACAGGATGTCCTACTTGTACCTCACCGATTCAAGAAATTGGTACCATTGTAAGGAAATCTTGTAAGATATGGTATCCGTAAAAGACAAGTGTAGTTTTATTATGAAGAACCAAATGGTTTTTGAGATGATGTGTGCCTACCTATCCTCCATATCCAATGGTGTATCTACTTAATGATGGATACATTGTGCCATTCTTTAGTACATATCTATCTATTTGAATATCTTTTTTTGGAACCCATGACAACAAATTTGCACGCCTCGATAGCTGCCGGTAAAACGAGTCCGCACGTCCAAATAAAATCCATACACACAAAGAGAAAGAAATTGGTACATTGTATAGTGTGCAGTATGCAGTGCAGGGCTGCGTGGTGCTCGGAGGATGCGGTAAATAACGCGAGCGCGGCCCCGGTCTGCAACGCGGCCAACCGGCGCCCGCCCGCACGGCGCCGCGCGCTCATTGGTTGCGCCCCGTGGCGCCGCCCCGCCCGCGGGCCCGCCCGGACCGTCGCGCCCGGCGCCGCTAACCGTGCCCGGCTGCCCACAATCACGGTCGCCTCAACGCCGGCCGCGTCGTGCTCCATTTTAAAACGCTTAAATTCATTAACAAAACTCGGTCGTGGAAAATCGTAACCGTCGCGTCGTCCGGTTATCGCGGCGTATCTCTGCAAAGGTTCCGTTTCCGTCGGCCCGCGGGCCGCGAACTCGTTCAAGTGGAATGGGAGATTCGAAATATAGGCGCGATTGAGAAAAATAGTGTTGCGCGTCGCAAGGCCAAGCGGCGCGCTCAGTGCGGCGGGAGTCGCGCCGGCGACGTGCGCAGTGAGGGCGCTCCGGCACCTCCGACATGATGACCATGGATGTAGGCATGTACGGCGAGCAGCAGGGCTGCGGCGAGTACTATCCGCCGCCCTGCCAGTACGACTGCCACGAGGGTTACTACGATCAGCAGCAGTACTACGAGCCCGCGCTGGCGGCGCCGCTCGATACGCCGCCCGTCATCAGCACTGATGCAGGCCTATGTTATACCAACCTGGATTACGGCGAGCTGCAGCACGCTTATCCCGCGCCGCCGCACGCACCGCACGCGCCACACACTCCTCACACCCCACATGCGCCCCACACACCCCACATGCCTCTCGCGCACCGGGAGGAACACAAGCTGGACGGGCATTACCTAGAAAGCAAGTATAACATGCACTTTGTGGAGGAGGGCGTGCAGTACAGTGCGCACGCCGGGTCGCCTCTGCCCTGCGGGGACTTCGACCCCTACCAGCCCAAGGAGGAGTTCCTGGGGCTGCGCGAGGGCTTCCCGCGCGACGCCGAGTTGCACGCGCTGGCGCCACACACGCACGCGCAGCATGCCCAGCACTCGCAGCACGCACAGCACGCCGCACACGCCGTGCCCACATACAAGTGGATGCAGGTCAAGAGGAACGTACCAAAACCAACCGGTGAGTACATTTTTTGAATGCATTATTTATTGTAGAAAACGACGTACATACAATAGAAGTGGATGTTTCAACAAAAATTGAAAAATGCACCATAAGCCATGCAAATAGAACGCAGTGTTTCTTACACTTTTTGTTCTAAATACTTACTCCTATTTAGTCAATTCTTATGAGGACAGTTTTATTAATTATAAAAAAGGTTAATTTACTTAATGAAAAAGTTTAAGTTTAAACTTTGGAAGTTGGTCAATATTTTACAATGTTAACTTGTACATATTTGACTATGACAATTCCAAACGGGAAGAGATAAAACAACATGAATTTACATTCTGAAATTAGAAACCTCAATGATTTTTACCAAAATTTAACTGCAACAATTATAATTAATATTTTGTATTAGTAACTTGTATAATAATTTCTTGTTGCGAACAGAAGTTTGTGTCAGTTATAAAATTAATGATCTCATAGTCGCTAGTTAGCATGTCAATTTGTCAATTAAAATGACCCATAACGCAGTGGCGCAGTGGCGCGGTGCCGGCGGGGTATTGTGACGGACGGGGTCACGAGTTGTGATCCCGGAGCCGCAGTCCACATACACCTACTGCGAGACCTTTGACACCTATGCTTGTGTTTTAAAATTATAAGCACTTATTTTTTTTACCTTATTATGTAATGGTCAAATAACTGTATAAATATGTCGGAATTAATTTAAGTGTCGACATTAAATTATTAATATTCTGTTTATTTCAATTATTACAAAAAGCTAGCTTTTTACAATTTCAAATCAATAGAGATCATTTGTGATCATGACAAATCAAAACAAATCATTACCAATCCGAAAAAAATTATATCTTTTACTGATTAATTTGCATTCTTTGAGATGTAATGATTATGATGTTATCACACTGTGTAACACAACTTTATAAATGTAAAATAAAACTAAGTTATTACTCGGTGTTAGTCCAATTCGGTGTGTTCAGGTGGTCAGGAAAGTTGACAGGCGCGACAGCATTGACCTACGTCTGACATGTCTATTGAATGCATTGAATTACTGATAAATAGATTAATTCCTAGTTATGCTAAAGGTTTAGCATTAATATATCAAAGCTATATACAAATAAAGTATGCATGTCGTATGTCTTTGTTAAAATGAAGCAAATATAAAGTAAATATCGTAGTTTGTATTTTGTACCTAAAACATATTATTTTATGAGAAAGAAATCCGTGAGTAGAAGAATATTCGTATGTGTTTTTAAGAATAAAGTACGTTTGCGTGTTGTTTCTTGAGTCTTTGTTAACACTAATGCAAGGAGTTTAACCCAAAAAGCTAATTAGAAGAAAATACGCAAAGGATAGGGCTCGTCCGGCCGTGCCGCCTCACGCGACCGACCGACAATGGTCTTATCCCCCGCGCGACTAAGCCCCTGTGTTTGTTGTGGCTGGCACGCGACCTGAGGGTGTATGGAAAAAAAACCTAAAACAATTCATTCTAATAAACACTTTTGCCTTAGAGGATTACGCACGGTTGATACGGAGTCTTTATTTTCAAATACTAAGTCAAATCAAAACTAATTTTATATGAGGCCTATATCTAAGCTCATAGAAAACCATGTTTTCATTTTTCTTTAAACATTTTCTATTTTTTGAATCAATAATTTACCAAAATTGTCAATAATACGTCGTATTTTAACTTTAAACATATTAAATAGACATGCAATATTAAAATAAGGCAACAACAAAATAATAGGTTATATGGATTTATCAGGTAAGCGAATATGTTAACGTTTTATTTATTAAAATAGCTAAAAAGCTATTGCATTAAATCAAACTTTTCCACTTTACAAAGTTTCCCGTTTATATTCAAAACCGTACCACAAATGCGTGTATGTCAAAACACAAACAGGTCCGTAATAAACTGGTTTCAATACCAACATATTGGACTGGTACTGACTTAGCCATAACAATATTGACTTATTTACAATAAAACCCAGTTGTTTCGGTAACGTTCAGTCATGATGACAAAGCTACGATCAATATGTTCAGATTGTAAAGATGACATACCACAGCGTGACAAATTGCCAATTAATTAAGTTTACTCCTGATCCCGGAAAATGACTGGCATTTTCTAGCAATGTAAGCTTACTCTAAGCTATAGAAAGTAAAGTAAATCACATAATAAAGTATTTGTCACGGCAAAATTGTCTTAACAAAGTAAAGAACTATGGTTGGGCCAATTTGATAGGGACATTAGACACTTCATCAAAATTCAACAACGTCACTTTGTAATAGAGCAGAAATAATTTTGTTTGATGTTAAAACTGCACAATTGCTTTAATATATTTTTTCTTTGTAATAAGTTCCTTACAGTGTTACATAAATAAACCCTTTTTCTTTTTAAACGTTAAGAATTTTATAAAAAATATCGACCTTAAAATAATGATTTTTCATTATAACTGAAATCTATTACAATATTTTTGAAATTCGAATCAATGCATTTTATAAACGTTTTAAATCAATCTGTGAAAATCGTAACGCGAAGAATTGGATAAAATTACCAACGTCGATGTTTCCGTTCGTGATGCGTGTAGCTTCCAAAGTGGGGCCAATATGCTAATACTAAATAGTACGTTACAAATTTCGATCGCTTCGTCAACTAACATCAACTAAAGTTGTGGAAACACATAATTTTTTTAACTATAATTAACGATACAAGTGACATAGGGATTAGAGTACTGTAAGTATGTTTAATGAACGTTTCTCCTGAAAATAAAAAAACAAACAAATGACTATTATAATAATTTTCTCTTTCGTCAATCCATCAAAAGCTCTTTTATAAATGTTCGCAGAGCGGACATTGTTCTATTAGGATTTCTTCGAAAGCAATCGACCTTTAGAGGTCAAGCGAGCCGTGTCCTCTACGCTCCGGTGATAAGGAATTATATTAGACGTCATGATAAAACGCAAAATGAATACATTCGTGAATCATTTTGCGAGCGTCGGCGGAGCGCGCGGGGCGAGCGCGCGGGGCGAGCGCTGGCCACACACGACCCGTCAAACTCCATCGATGTTATCTATTGTGTGGTGCCTCTACAATGCCATCTCGCGGACCTGAGACGCCTGCAAACGCTTATCTGTCGCTCACAAACCGATCTCCACTCAAATATTGACGTTAGAGTGAACGCAAATATGACAGCTATAGATCCTGTCGCGCCGCAAATGTAAATTGGCACTACCGATATCTCACGATGTCATTCCACACGAGATCCAACCGTCCCGTAGTCTGGATTCTTTGCATACATTCTCCTGTTCTAAATCCGATCTAAACATTATAGAAATAAAGTTGAAATTTGATAGTTCAAGTTTTCTATTTTCAGTATTCCTTTTCTGTGCAGTCAACAAAATTAGATAGTATCGATTTTATTCAACAATGTATCAAGATCTGAGTATCACGGATTACTAAATGTTGAGGGGATTTTCATATTGTTCGCATGTCTTTTTGCCAAAAAGGACATAATAACTGCTACCTTGTACTAAGATTTAAATTTTACATTATAATTTACTTCTAGAGACCTCTTTAAACTTAAAATTCTTGGATTTCTTAAAAAAAAGTGTACGATTTAAGTGCCACTTACATTTATTTTTATCAAGGAAGTGTTGGTAATGGTCGAAATTTTAATATAGAATGGTGTATTAGAATAATGGTAGGGTTTTAGCGTTCTTGTGGTGGCCAGTGTGGCTAATTCGCGAGCTTGGTCATTACAGCCGCGCGGTGTGGCCGCTTCTAATGGCCAGCGCCTGCAAGTCACCTGCATTAGCTGGCGTGTGCCCTGTGGTACAAGTTACACGATTTCATATTATTTTTGATCTTTACTATCTATATTACGAACACTATGGTCCTATTTAGAAGTACAGTAGTTTCTTAACCTCATTATTAAACGGTTGAAAGTAATTGCAATTTTTAAAATACCTATTACGAGTCAATCATCTTATAAAAGGTATAGTTTCTTCTAACTTAAGTAATTTTCTTGGTTGGATATGTATGAAGAAACTAATTAACTCAATAATATATTAATATGGAGTTAGTAAGGATTAATTTGCTTAAGATCCATCAGTTTATGTCTTGTGCCACGCTACAAACTAGGCCCAGAGCTCCGCTAGCGAACGGCGCCCCCGCTATCGCTATCGCGACATCTAGCACGCAACTCATAGGGCTGTCACCTGTCACCTGGCACTTTACTACGATATAATTTTACTTAAGGAATAGGAAAAATTCTTCTAATTTTTTTACTTTTAAAGAAATAAATGTACAAGTGAATAGAACATTTCTCAAGATGAAACATTTCTTAAAATTTACTTCGAGTCTACATAGCAAGTTAACGTTATAAATTATATCTTATTTATTTACTTTGAATTACCTTTTTAAACGTTCTACATAAGTGAATACTGAATGAGTACTAAATATTGTGCTTTATTGATTGCAATATCAAATGCTAACGTAGTATTACTTGAGAGCGTAGGCACAGCCCTGGGCGACCCTCGCGCCCTCGCTCGCCCGGTAATGACCCACCACTTGCCCCATATCAATAATATTATTAGCAATTGTAGTGCCCTGACTTACAATGCCCAACTTGTAGATACTTGAATGTTGTACCTTATAACTTAACCAATGTTATAACAGAATAATCAATAACCATTTAAAAAAACTATTCTTGACTAGCTGTCGCCCGCGACCCCGTCCGCGCAGGATTAAAAAAAGTTCCTGAAGGGTTTTCCCGGCAACTATTCGAATTTTTCTCACCTATTAAACCTTCCCTAGACCTCCAAGAACATTTCAAAACAAAGATAAGACAAATCCGTTCAACCGTTCTCGAGTTTTAGCGAGACTAACGAACAGCAATTGATTTTTATATATATAGAATAATCAATGCAATTGTTCGCCATTTCAAATGTAGGATCGAACCTAATTTGTGTATTTCAAACTAGACTTACCGTTGATTTCTGAG